ACAGTTTCCGTGGGGGCGTACCCCACCACGAAAGTTACTCGCCGGCCAATTTGTAGACGAACCTTCATCAGCCTCGTGCTAATGCACTCCACCGTCCTACCTTCCTCGCCCACACTCTCCCACATGGTCTCCTTGATCGCTATGCCCACACCGTGTACGCCCCTCTTGTCCTTGGTGCCAGCACGGGCGCCACTCCAAATGATCACGTACCCGTCGTGTGCAATTGAACCTTGCCCCGCTCGTCGGGTCTCCTGAAGTCCTATCACATCACAGCCGGTCGCGGAACAAATCTGCATGACCGTCATCACGTTGTGACCGATGGGGTTCCTACCGCTGTAGGCGAGCGTGCGTACGTTGAACGTGCCGAACGATAGGTCGCCCTCTCGTGCCTTCTTCTTCGCAGCTGCCTTGACGGCCGCTGCGGTCTCGTCTCTCTCTCGGTCCACCTTGCGTTGCGGGTGTGCTTTCTTCCGTATCTTCCGAGCGGCGAGTTTCCTCGCATCAATCCATCTCTGCAGAGCTCGGTTCTTGCCTGTGGTGTTTTGACGAGGAGGGTGCAGCACTCCCTCCCCGCGGTGCCCGCGGTCGTCTCCCTTCTCCCGCGAGCGGTGCTTACTGACGTGGTGTTTACAAATCTCTCTCTACTCCTCCAGCTTCGTGGGCCACGCTTTCCGCGACGGTGGTTGCCAGGTGCAGTTTGCCGTTTCGCATTACTGCCGCGGGAACAGTGTCCATACACACCTCTCGCCACTACCACCGTCTGTGCATCCTCACCGCCACGCTGAGCCAGCGCGGCGGTGAGTTGCACCTTGGGACACCACCCGCCTACTATCTGTTGTGTCCTGGTTCGCCCGCGAGGGACTCACTAGGTCGATTTCGGCCCCGGCCGGGGAGCAGGCCGAGGAGGGGGGAAAGTATTATATTAACGTGTTGAGGTGCGGCTGTCGTCTCTTAGGGCCACGTAAAACAGACAGACCAAGTACAACACATCGTCACAAGATTTCCGACTTCCGAACCAGGTGTCTATCTGTCTCTCCCACAAACCGGCGGAAACACGCGAAACAGAAAACCGTCGACGCACATCAACACCAGCAGCTCTACACACCGACTGTCCTTCAAGGCTCCAGACGCAGCATACATTTGCGGTGGCTTCACCCCGCATTGTGCGGGATCCCCCCCCCCCCCCCCCCCCCCCCCCCCCCCCCCCCCC